TTTTGTTCAATTAAATGCAGCACTGGTGAGCATAAGGAACTTCTTAAATATTTTTAAAAAATCTTTTGAATGGTAAAAAAAAAAAAAAAAAAAAAAAGAATAAAAAAAAAATAATAATAATGGAAAAAATAATAGCGCCTTAGATCCTTCCAGAGATTTTCTCTCTGAAATTTTTCTCTCTTCAAAAAACTTTTCTCAACAAAAAACTTTCTCTTCAACAAACTTTTTTCTTCCATCAAAAACTTTTTCTGTCTTGAAAAACGTATTTCTTTTAAAAAAAGCTTGTCAAAAAAATTTTCCCCATGAAACTTCTCTCAACAAAAAACTTTTTTCTCTTCAATTTTTTTTTCTTGCATCAAAAAGCTTTTTTATGTCTTCAAAACGTTTTTCTCAATTTTTTTCTCTCATCCAAAACTTTTTCTGTCTTCAAAAAACTTTTTTTTTTAAAAGCTTGTCAAAACATGTTCCCATAAAACTTCTCAACAAAAAACTTTTTTTCTCTTAAATTAGTTTTCTTGCATCAAAATTTTTTTTTGTCTTCAAAAAAAGTTTTTTCTCTTAATTTTTTTTTCTCAACAATTTTTTTTTCTTTGAACAAAAAACTTAGTTCTCTCTTCAGAAATGTTTTCTCTCATCAACAAACGTTACAATTTTTTTCTCCAACCTCGAGGTGACGCGAGAGAGTAAGTTGAGGTCCATGCTAATGTTAGCGGGTCGTCATGCTTTCTCTCTTTTGAAGAGAAATGTTTTTAAAAGAGAGAAAAAAAATCTTAGGATCTAAAGCACTGTGGGCTGCGTCTTAAATCGCATACTCTCTTGAGTAGGTACTTTTCTGAATAAGTAATTACTTTGCGACCTCCAAAAAAAGAGTATGTTCTATATAGCATGAATGTAATCTGGACGTACTACATTCACCATGTCATTGTCACGTGACCCACCAGCGTCAGCTGCGTTCATGAATCTCTCCCGTGGCCTCATGGGATATAAAGTGTCCATCGTATGCTCACTTCAGAATCCCGCCGGAAGAAGTAGGTCATCCGGGGGCTTTTTGCCTACTCTTTTATGACTACTGTGAACTCAGACATTCTTCTTTGGTCACATACTGTTTTTCGCCTACTCTATGGAAGGGAAGTGTGTGATTTCAGATGCAGTCTATTTGTTTTTCCACCATGAATTTATTCCATGTTTTCAGGGCTTCTGTTGACTTCAGTTCCCAGTGTTAACTGAAGAAGAGCTGGGGTTACTAGTTTTATTTTTTTGTTAAGTATTTTCAGTTTTCAGTTTAGAGTGAAGCATATGACATAACTAATATTTTTAACTGACACTGACAAAGATGCTTTTAAAAATATTTTGCTGATTGTTAGTGCATCTTAATTAACGCATTAACTAACCTTCACAAATGTGACCTTAATGTAGAGTGTAAACGGCAGTCACATCCACGTTCTCAAATGGCCGAGACCCCAAAACTCAAACTCTGACTGTTTTACTCCAAAACAGTGAGATGATCAAAGCCATAAGTTATGTTCCAAATTTGAGGTTGATATCATCAAAGATGAGCTTTCAGTAAGATTTTGTTTGGTTGCAGAACTAAATGTTTCCATTAGATGACATTTGTTCACCATTCATTTCCAAAGTGATCATTTTTGACCTAATATTTGTTTATCATCATTTTGAAGACACTTTTTTTCAGGGCCATTTAAACTTTTCAAATCATGCCCACGATTCTTTGTTCACGTAGCACGTGCCAAAACCCTATTCCAATGAAGTAAGAGTCTAAAAACCAAATGTAAACCTTTTCAGTCAAAAAAATGAGCGAACAGCGCCTTAAAGGTTAAAAAACAACTGCATCTGACAAGTGCAATTACTCAGAATGCATAATCAACAGAACTGAACCGATGAAGTCAGATGAACGTTTATGAAGTCAACCGTCTGCTGCTTTTCTCCGTGAAGGTGCAGCTGATCAATGAAGCGTATAATCTGGTTCTGGGTCCAAAAACACCATGCAACTGAAGACGAGTGATGTGAGCGTTTGAGTTTATTCAATCAGTGTTAAAGATTTAGCAAATATTCCAAACGAAAATATTTCATCAGTTTCAAAAATATAAAAACACTGTCCTAATTGAAGGAAAACAAGTTTACAAAAAAAATGAATCCAGTATTTGGTGATAATACAGCATAAAAAGGGATTTATAGGCTAGTCATTTTTGACTGGCGTTGTTACTTTGTGACATTTTTGTACAAGATAAAACCATTTCAAAACAAACCTCCTGATTAAACATTAAAGCACACCAGTGTGATTTTTCATATTTTAATAAATGTCAAAATTATCCACAACCAGATCAGTGAAACTTGAGAAAAACTTCATTAGTTAGCCACATTAGTTCACATGAAATCTAAAGCATTAATCAATCAATGTTAATTTCAACATGTACTAATGCATTTTTAAAATCAAATCTTGCATCTGTTAAGATCATTTAATAAAACGGAGCTAACGTTGACAAAGAACAGGTGGATTTTTATTAACATAAATACTGTAACAAATGTATTGCACATTAAGTAACATTAACTAAAGAAGGTTACTGTGGCCTGTGATCAAACAGTTCCAGAAGAGAAAACAAAACCTGCGCTCGCTGAAAGAAAACAGGCCAGTATTTGGTGATAATACAGCATCATGAGATTTACAATCATTTTTGAGCAGGAAAACCAAAGGTGTTAAAGGGTTTTCAACAGTTGCGGGTCATAAAATGACCATCTGATGTTCGTGAACCTCCATCAAGCTTTCATCATCTACACCAAAGAGAAAACCAGATCAGTTCACAATCAAACTTCTGCCAAAGTGAATCCGTAAGAAGATCATTAGAAACACTAACCTCACGCTTTACCCTTCAGAGGAACAAACACGGTTCATCAGGCCTCGACCTTCTTCAAACCCCCGACGGTTTCCGACGGGAACTCAACCTGAACAAAACCAAAGAACGAACATTAAACACTCGACCGCAGGAATCACAGATATGAACACAGAACTAACTACAGTGTCTTTGCTCTGGGAACTAATCTGGCGTTTCTCAAATTGAGCTACATTGGTGAAAGTGAATGTGTTGGTGATCAGAGCCTAAATGTAAAGTCTTTCTAGAATGGTTGGCAATGCATGGGGAGAAATGAGTGGGAGTTTAACTCTGAGTGTCTGACGTCCGTCTGAGGATCTACGACACCATGCAGACGCTTCTGAGAGGACTGTGAGATCTGCGCTGTGCTGTCAGAGCAACTGAATCTGAGTTTAAGAAGTGAACAGGAGAGCAAAGGAAGGTTACCTCGCGCACACAGGCTAACGAACAGAGCAGCCAGAGTCAGGATTCACTTCAGGAGATGCAACGCTTCAAGCTCCGAGGAAACTCATCCAGAGCGCTTGGGTTCAATCAAGCATTGTTTGGGTGAAACACACTCAATAACTCACTCTACTCGCTAACTAGCAGCACTGGTGATGGTTATTCTCTTTAGCATTAGAGCTATGATCTTCATATCATCTGAACATGGACACACCAGGAGAAAACAGGCAGATTTGAACTCCACTTAGTTTGCATGGTGTAAAACTTTAGTAACAAACCCAATTAGTCTTCAAAGCCAAACACAAACTCTTCGGTTCCTGTCGGAGCTCGAGGCAGAATTCTGCTGTTCTTCATGTTTGAGCTGTTAATTGAAGTTGCATGCGATTAAACTACATACTGTATGAATGTGACATTGAAAACTCTTTGAAATGCATCACTTTAACCTCACTGGAAATAACATGCAGTTAGTTAAAGTCTCTCAACCCTTCAGACTAGTGCTGGGCGGTATGACCAACAATTTATATCACGGTATTTTTCTAAATTATACCGGTTTCACGGTACATGACGGTATTTTTTTTTCATGCATGCCCGGGTGTTAACCATATTATCTACTGATTGAGAGGAAATACTGCAGTATATTGACTTAGAATGCCCTATTTTACTGTCATGATGAGTGAATATTGTCAAAAAATACCACACTAAATAGTGACTAAACACGACCCCTTTTAATACATGTTAACCAGGAGTCACTCTCATTTATAATCGCGGCATCGTCTGATAAAATCAACATGCATCTACACTAAAGAGCAGCTATGAATTTGTTTTGGCTATATTACTTTTTTGTCTCATGCAGCAGCACTGCCTGCGTCTGAGTAACAAACTAAAAACAACAACAAACAAAAAAGTGCATGTGATATTAACAGACGAACTACGCTCGACACTTCTCCGGGAAAGTCAGACCTCGCGTTCGCGGGACAGCACTGGCGAAATCTTCCAACTGAACCATAGCTAAGGTTTATCCAAAAAAGTCGCTAGGTTTGTCAGTATGAATATTCTATGGAAAAAAGCCGCTAATCGTTCTCGTTCTGTCGTACGTATCTTGTCAGTGTCTGCGCTTGCTTGGCCATTTGTTGCGGAGAAAATAAGGAAAGTGTGTCCAGCTGAATTAATTTTGTATTTTGTTAGAAATGGAAATGAAATAATATATATATTGAATTTATAAATGTGTATGTACATATACAGTATATATATATATATATATACTTGGATAAAAGCGTCTGATAAATGACTAAATAAAATAAATAAAAGGGTCTGAAAGTTGCTAAATCTAGTGCTAAAGTCGCGTTCGTGTGTGTGAGACGCGGGAGCTGATGGCAGGGGGCGGTGGATATTTGTGGCGGTCAATGTGGATATTGTGGATGAGTTCTTCTGTGTCATCACGTTCTATTAGTTCTACAGCTTCAGTTTCTGAACTTTCACGCTTAGTAACACATACAGCTGTTCCCTCACCACAGTGCAACAGTGAAAAGGAACCCCTTTCAAACAGTGTCGCGTTCCCAACGTTGTTTAAGCGACATACACCGGTATTGCGGTATTTTAAAAATTCATATCATAACAAAAATAGACACCGGTATTCGGTATGAACCGGTATACCGCCCAGCACTACTTCAGACTGATCTCAGAAAACCTGTCCAGAACACATTTGGGTCACATTTAAATCAAGCTTATATTTGGGACCATTTAGGATGCTCTTAACTCAAGAATTACATTTACTCATCCACATGTCATTCCAAACAATGAAATCTTCAGAAACGCTGGTGACTAAACGGTTTCGGTTCCCACTGAATCTGTGTCCAATTTAATGGAAGTCAATGCAAACCGAAAAGATTTGGTTTCCAGCATTCTTCAATCAGGTTTGGAACTACGAGCAAACGACTGAGAAACTAACGTTTTTGTGTTGTGTGTGAGAACTATCCCTTTAAGAACACCCCTCAAAAAAACCATTGCAATTAAATTTCAAAAACACTTAATTGCAGCTAAATGCACAACTATAATGCAAAAAAAGCTACAGCAATTAGAACTAGATAGTAAAGTTTGTAGTTTTAAAAGCTTTAAGTTTGAAGGTTTTCAGTTTTAACTAGTTTGAAGTTTAAAATACTTTTAAAGTTTTGAAGACAATGCAATTTATCAGAAAAATAGATAGAAATATTAAATTAGAAATTTTAGATGTAGATTAATAGATTCTATGGTGTTTCTATGCGTTTGCTAAGGTACCCGAGGTGGTTGCTAGGGTGTTGCTATGATACCCGGGGTGGTTGCTATGCGGTTGCTAAGGTACTTGGGTGGTTGCTAAGGTGTTTTTATGCGGTTGCTAGGGTACCTGGGGTGGTTGCTAGGTTGGTTTGGATAGTTATAGTGTTGCTATGAAGATAGATAAACAGATGGATAATCAGATGATAGAAATATTCAATGAGTTTGAATGAGTTAGAAATAGTACATAGAAGGGAAGTCTGATTCAGTCTAATGGGCTTCAGTGTTTAGATTTGAATTTTGACAGTTGGAGTTTGACGGAATGTTCAGATGAGCCAATACTTTTCAATGTAAGTCTATGGGATTTTTAATCTTCATTTGTATGAAGACCGTAAGTCCAATCAGTTAGAAAAGATATAGCAACCAGAGTCAGACCAGTCTGAAGGTCTGGGCCGAGTTTGGTGATTGTAGCTTTAAAGCGCTTTTAAAGCTACATTTTGTCAGAAAAAGTTTAAATACATTATCAGCAAGTTGGCTTTTTCAAGCCAACTTAATGAGTAGATGTGCTATATTATATCTTAAACTCTTAATGCAACTTTCCTGAGAACTAAATTTGTGTCCCTGCAGCACAAAAGCAGTGTTAAGTCGCTGGGGTATATTTGTAGCAATAGCCAACAATACATTGTATGGGTCAAAATTATATTTTTCTTTCATGCCAAAAATCATTAGGATATTAAGTAAAGATCATGTTCCATGAAGATATTTTGTAAATTTCCTATCATAAATATCAAAACTTAATTTTTGATTAATATGCATTGCTAAGAACTTCATTTGAACAACTACATTTTTCTTTTATGTCAAAAATCATTAGGATATTAAGTAAAGATGTTCCATGAAGATATTTTTTTGTAAATTTCCTAAATATAATATCAAAACTTAATTTTTGATTAATATGCATTGCTAAGAACTTCATTTGGACAACTTTAAAGATGATTTTCTGAATATTTAGATTTTTTTGCACCCTCAGACTCCAGATTTTCAAATAGTTGCATCTCAGCCAAATATTCATTTTATAAATCTCAATATCAAACAATTGACCCTTATGACTGGTTTTGTGCTCCAGAGTCACTTTGTGTAATGTGACCTGCTCAAGTTTGAGAGATTCATGCCCCCCCCGCCCCATCTTGTATATTTTGAAAGGCACAACAGAATTCAAAGCGTTTGAACAAATGGTTTCGTTTAATAGGCTCCATGAAGCCACAATTGAAAAGCAAAAAATAAAAATAATAAAAACAAAATATTGAGTCAAATTTTGATACAAAGGAAACAAGAGCACAAGGATTTCTTTCCCAGTTCTGGAGCGTACTGTTAACAAGTTCTGGTTCTCTTTCAAGTGAATGATTAATAGATATAGATAAGTCAATAGTCCATGGTTAAAATGCAGGATGCGAAGAACAGAGACAGATACCTCAGCGCCAGCAGTCCACTGCGCTCGGATACGGGTCATGGACAGATCATTGGCTTACAGCTAATAGGAGCCGTGCTCTTAATGAAGCGGCTGCGCATCAGTAACAAACACAGGAGAGCAAACGCTCTCTAGACGCCCCACAGAAGCACAGGTGAGCGCTAACATGAGTGCAGCTCGCTCTGGTGATTTAAAGCATTCAAAATGAGGCAGAAGAGGAACCCGCCAGCACATCAACACATTCACTCATTCACAGCCGGTGATCAGAAAGCGGCCTTCCTCTCAGAGTACAAGAACTGAACAGAAACATGGAGAACAGCTACAACAAATCCAAGAACAGATCCAAGAGTCTTTAGAAACGCTCGGCTGCAGACGCGTCGGGTCTTGGGTTCTACTCTTGTACAGCTGAGGAGGAAGTATCACACATGAAGACACTCAAGCATCTCAACAGGGTTAAGACACACAATCCCTCCACTAACCCACTAACCAACCCACCAAACATCAAAACAGGGTCGTCTGGGCAGAGAGAGAGCAATCGGGCGATCAGGAGTTACAGCGTCCTGCGTTTCTATCGACCCGATTCAGATTCATTTCTCTGCAATACGTGACTTTAGTCAAATTACTGGGCCGGAAACGTCAAATCCGAATTAAAACTGGGCCACTTGAAAGCATTTGTAGTTTATCGTAAGCATACATGTACAGTTCTAGAAACTCTAGAATAGCCTGCTTGACTCGTCCGCGGCGACACGAGCACAGCAGACATGCTTCTATGAGGATTTTAGAGCGGAGGGAACTAATACGTACCATAACTATCATAGCTGTCTCTGTAAGAGCTGCTGCGATCGCTGTAACCAGAACTCCTGCAAGAAGAAGAAAACAGCAGGTTACACTCGTGATCGGAGCAGTGTGTGTGAGAAACACCGATTACAAGACCATCAGAAGAAACTTAAATGCATGTTAATGCTCTGATCACGAGGCAGGTTGCTTTCGCATTAAAGGGAAAAAAACAAGCATGAATACAGACTGAAATAACTGTATGCCTCGTCCAGTAAGAACAGCGAAACAAAGCAAAACGTGTATAAAGTTGTAGTAATGCACTGCTTTTGGGCAGATCTATGCAACATTTATAAATAATCAAACTGAATTAAAATAATTTTGCTGTCTGGCAGATTTATGCAAAATATTCATAAGTAATAAATCTAAACGAATGCATTTTAATCTAAACACTGATTTGCAGAGACACTGTTGGGGGAAAAAAAGCTAGTTTTAAAAAGTGCAATAAACTGCACAAGACAAGACGCGAGAATAAAAGCGGTTATGCATTTATTTATTTTTTTTTAGTAGTAGTGAGATTTTATTGCATGCGTTTTAAACGCCCATCATTGAATACAAGGCAAAAAAAAGATTCAAGAACATTCCTGGTTACTTGGGTGTTCTGATGTTTGCATAACAAAATATTAATGCTTATGATATTTTGTTGCAATCTAAAGACCCGTGTTGTTTCTGCAGTGTGTGAGTCTGGCGCCGGTGCATCTGCAGGAACACACACCTGTCTCTGCTGTAGCCGCCGCCGCCTCCAGAGGAGTAACCTCCTCCTCCACCTCCTCCTCCGCCGCTCTTATATCCACCACTGCTGTAGCTCCGGTCGCCTCCGTAACCACGGTCTCCTCCGCCGTAGCTGCCTCCGCCTTCAGAGAGCGACACAACACTGAGTTTAGAACGAGACAAACACCTGAGGATCACACTGACTGATAGAGCAGCAGCTCTCGGACCTCCTCTTCCTCGGCCTCCTCTGAAGAAACCTCCTCCTCCTCTTCCTCCGCTGCTGCCGCCTCCTCCTCCACCTCCTCTGTAGGATCCTCCGCCCGACCGGCCGCCTCCGCCCTTCCCAGCCTCATCCACACGGATCGTCCGGCCGTCCACAGACTACAGGAGGAAAACAGCGTCAAACATCAGACCAGTGGAAACCTAAACCAGTGGCTCAATATTAGTGGCTATAGCATTTCTGTCCTAAAGAAATGGCCAAATATTAAAGATTAAGTGGACATTTGAATGAAATGGTGCTTGGTCAATATTAAACAAGTATTAGATCGCACAGTAATGTGTAAAAACAATCGTCAGGCCGTTGGCGCCCCCTGCAGGCCTTTGTTGTAATGCGTAATGTACATTAGCTCTATTGTTTATAATACATTATGCATTTTAAGTTTTGTTCAATAAAACCATATGATTTCTTGCTTTTGATACTATATTTGAACTAATTATTATTATTGCCTCATTGCTATTATATATGCATTTTAAGGCTATTGTTCACTTACATCTATTTTTATTACCACAAAAAATTAATTATAGGGCACTATGAAATTAGTTTTATTTCCAAATTCAGTTTTCCATTTTAATTTTTCTATACTGTTTTAATGGTTAAATTAAAGTTTATTAAATCAAAAAGCCTGTCTAATTGAGTTTTATTTTTACCAAATTCGGTTTTCCATTATTTTCTAGAATCTATTTTAATGGTTAATTAACCATTTAATTGATATATATATATTATTTTTTCTTTCTTTCTCCAAAATACTGCATTTACATTTTTCTCCCTAATAAATTCTGGTAAATACTCCTTTAAAAAGAGTTTGATTATAATTTTATTATTACTAGACTATAACACGTGGACATGTTGTCATTCTTACACTATAATACTGAACTTGATTTGATCAGTGATTTGGACTCTGAGATGGACACTTGCTTCTTGCATTTATGTTGCACTTTACTTTTGGATTTCATTTGGTTTAATGAAACATAGTTTAATAAAATATTCTTAAGTAAAATTGTTGATTTTTGTTTTTTTTTTGCGGTGAATTAATAGTTTAGATTAATCGATAAGTTAGTCGATAGATTAATCGAAACAAAAAGTCGTTAGTGGCAGCACTAATTACATAGAATATAATGAGATTTCACTGCTAGGGATGCACTTAAGTGGTACGCAGGTCACAAACATTGACAGCTGTTAATGCACAATCACGGTTTTAGACCGACTAACTGTAATCCTGTATAAGATTCTCAAACTGGGAGCTTAAATCTAAAGATGTTCTGCCAGTTTCAGAGCTAAACGCAAAACTGACATTTCATTCACTGACGCGGTATAACCAGCAGTGCATGCGCTTACTAGCCGGCAACCCGCCAAAATAAAAGCATGCTGATTTTAGGTTTGACAATGAGAAGTTAATTAGCACTATATTTTTAAGTGTACTATAAAATAACTTTTATACTCTTTTTTTTTAAAATATACTGCTTTTAGTTTATTATATGAATTGTATTAAAATAAAAAAACAAATACATACAAGGGTATTATCCCTATTAATAATAATTTTATTTGTAGTTATATTGTATGAGTCGCACTGTGCGAGTACCAAACCTTACCTCCAGGTGCTCTCATGAGAACCAAACCGAAGCTTATGTGCACCCCTGTATGCACTAATATGCATGTGTATAGGGTGATGCCGTTTTGCCAATTATTAATTGTGCATTCAGGATGTTAAAAATCTAAAATGATTGTTAACCTTTAACCATACATTCATGTTTTTACTTAAAATTCATGTTTAAGTACCAAAAATTTTTTTGTTTTATCAATAGTTTCACAGCATATATTCAGATTATTGTACAAAATTATTCAGGAAAATCATCATGTTTTATAAATGTACATTACTCAGGTTTTATAGCAAATTATTCATGTTTTTTAAACACCAAAAAATAAGAAATTCTGGAAATAAGGTTTAGTAAATTATACATTATATAATTTAGGTGACATTTGTGCATGTACCAATCGTAGGTTGAAACACTATAGAATTTGGCTGAAAGCCGTTTGGGAGCCGAAAGAGTCGGTTCTTACTACTGAACCGAGTCAACTGATCCGACTCACTAAAACCCGCCAGAACTCTCATTCCCAATTTGAACCCAAATCAAAACTAGAGACTCCGTGACGAACCTTTCCATTCATTCCTTCAAGTGCGTCCTTCGCGTCGTCTGGATTCTCAAAAGTCACGAATCCGAATCCTCTGGATTTGTTGGTTTCTCTGTTTCGGGCCACATGAACTGAAAACAGACACGCATTACAATGAGCTGCTTATGCAAATCAGAGAACGCACAAACCAATCCGAAGCAGCGCGGCAGCAGAGCGCGTCACTGATTGGCCACTTACCGTTGGTGATGACGCCATATTTGGAGAAGGCGTCCTCTAGCGACTGCTCGGTGGTATCGAAACTCAGGCCGCCGACAAACAGCTTTCCTTCGTCAGACATTCTGATCTAGAAACACGTGGGTCACACCGAGAAAACACGTTACATTGCACATCATATAATGTAGAAAAAACGCTTTAGTTCGGACTCTAGGCAGAAAGGCGATTAAAAAAATAGAAATATAAAACAAATAGAGGCTTTTAGCGATTAATTGTGCTTTAAGTAATATTAATACGTTATTTGAACGTTTGTCGTCTTGTATTTATTCAGACTCGACATGTGGGTCACGAAGCGCGCGGATCCAAACTAGGCCAAACAAAAGACCCCATACAAACACCCGAATTACCGAATAAAGCTTAAAAACCCGCTGATCCGAGGCCGTGCGCCGTCACAGGCGCATTATAACACAGAAACACACGGTCACCGACGGCGAAACAACCGACTGACTGATTACAACTTCATCAAATCGGCTGATCTGAGGTGAGGATGATGAAGATCTCAATCAGGCGTCGCCATTTTAAGCAGCGCGCGAATCACGATGGACAAAACACGGTCTAACACGATCAATCCCATTGTTGAATGAGCTAAATGTCTAATGTAGTGAAGCACACGTCGATTAAAGCAAACGAGTGCCGGTTAAAAACAGATAAAAGAAGCCGGTACCTGTGATGTCGCAGTTGCGGGTGAAATGATGCACTTCTCGAACGCGTTCAGAACTCCAGAGAGACGCAGCGGAGCGCCGAGCGCCGCTTATAAAGCCCTGCGCCAGAGGGGCGGGGCCTAACACACGCTCATTTACATATGCTAAACACCAGAGAGAGAGAGAGAGAGAGAGGGGCAAGACATCACATGTTTTATTATAAATAATATATATTATATATAATATATTACGTTTTTTTTTTACATTTTTTATATACAAAATTATATTTAAAATACAAAAATTATAAAACATTTGAGGGTAAAGATAGATAGATATATATCAGTTTGGGGCAAGTCATCACATGTATTATTAATTATAATATATATTATATATAATATATTACTTTTTTTTAATACACAAAATTAAATGTAAAATACAAACGTTATAAGACATATAAGGGGAAAGATAGATATATCAGGTTGGGGCAAGTCATCACATGTATTACAGTTTTTCTGAATCGCTAAAACACTAAACCCCAATCTCTGAACCAAATTCTCACTAGCTTAAACCAGTTTGCCGAATAAAGCACTCTTTCTGCTAAACCTTAAACATGTTTAGGCAGTTAGGCTCTTTTAGCAAATCTCATGCACTCTTTTTGCAAAACTCTAAACACATTCTCATTCACT